CTTTCTTTACAGACATATCTGGCGGTGCAATGTTTTTACTCAAGTAAAGCGAACGCAACTTGCGTCGTAAGAGCAATCTAAATACGAAGATTATACATGCACTACACATGTTTCTATAAAATAAGTAAAGTAATACCCCAGATTGTTCTCATCGGTGTTTTTAAGGGTCAATTCTTTTAGCACAGCTATTTTCGATCCTTTTTCCTTGTTATACTGTGATAATTTTTTCCTGCCCTCACTCATAAAATAGCGCCAAAAATCATATGAAACCTTTGCCTGAATAATTTCTAAGTCTCCCATCTAATTAAACACACTATTTCAAATCAAGACATACACGTATAGCTGGGATACCACGATGTAATCCTGCGATTACTGGCCAAGTGAAAGCTGCAGTTTTTGATTCAGAATAGCTAAAATTTTCAAAAATCCATAAATAATAAGAAGCACTCATACAATATTAATAAGTAGACATACAATTAATAATCATACCGTTAACATACCCTAAAATGGAATGAGCGAAGTGAGCTAGCAATCGATCCAAACGCCACTTGTTTTTGTTCTCCAAACCTGTGATTCTGACCCACTCGAGTAGTACTTTCTTGTTGACATTCTCTTGAAAATTCTGCATGCGCTTCGCATTAGTTGCATCCTAAAAATAATACTTAATACTAATAATATTCACTTACTTAGATACAATTCATATCATTATAAAAAACGAATTAGTACCAGAACACCAAAGTGTTATACAATACTTCAATTGTTTACTTTGCTAGTTACTCAACAATATAAGTATTCTTCATCTATTGATCAGAAACAGTATTTATAAAAAGTATATAACTCAATTTAATATACGTTGACACTTTCCTTCAAAATGAACCTTAACAATTCACTTCCTTTTCTTTTTTCTTCTTCTTTTTCATTAAAGACACAAAAACCTTCCACAATTCCTTAAACACGGGGGCCATACCCCTTTAAAAATAGGGACTCTTTTGATAGGGTTAAGCAAGTGGATACTAGCATAAGGGGGTAAGTACCACGCCCTCAAAAGGGTCTACAAACTTTTTTCAAAAAATCCTACAACAACTCGAAATAGTAATAAGGCTTGCAAGTGCCTAGGGCAAACCCCTTCAAACTTCCCCCTAGTATGTGGGCTGGGCCCCTCACATACTTCCATTACGGCCCACTACAACAATTATAAGTAGCAACAAGTATTATTTGAACAAGACTTTTTACAAAAGCAAAGTAAACAATATATATAACCTGAATAATTTTGGTACTACTCATCAAGTGAATACATGTAGTACAGGATGTAATAAATGTAATATTATAGACAAAAAAAGTTATATAATCTCAAATACTACAAAATTGAAAATTAACACTTTTACCGACAATCAAGCAAATTGTGCCCCCAGTCAACTGCTTAGAGTGCGGACAACAATATGTAGGCTTAACTACAAGAAGACTGAAAGATAGAATAAACGAACACACATACCATATAAATAAAAACGATTCTCATAAGTACATATACAAACATTTCAATGAAAAATGCCGTAAGAAACTTTTTTCCTTCACAATACTAGACAATCTCCAAGAAAATGAGGATAAAACAATTTTGCAGAATAAAGAATCTTTCTGGATTAAGCTATTAGTCACGGCATTTCCATTTGGAAACAATGATAACATAAAAACATATGGGAATATATCTGACATTATTAACCCTCTCACACATAAACCAGAACATCCATATTTCATTTGAAATTCTTAGACAAAGAGAAAGGAAAGGCAAGAAAAAGAAAAACAAAGACAGAAATAACAAGAAAAAAGATATCAATTTAGAACCTAAATAGATTTTTAGAAACACTACATAATTCTACAGACATAAAAGACATCAAAAGAGAATTATATAGCCTAAACAAAAAGTCCATCAAAAGTTTAATACAACTAACCTATTCAAATACAACTCTTTCGAATATACAAAAAGAGAAAAAATTTTTGCTACTATGTTTCTTGTGTCATTTTCAATTCAATTTGCACAAAGCAAACAATCATGGGAACAAAAACTCAAATATCAACTTCTGTAACCTCCCCACATATTACATACACAACGTCTTAGATTATATCAATATAAATAAAATAATGAATTCTAGGAACATCACACAGATCATTCAAACAAACTCGACAATATCCTACAAACCATTTAAAGTTATATATTATTACGACAAGCCTGCATCACAGTTCATTTTCAATTATAACCAAACACTTAAAAATATAACAAAAAATGACGTTATTGCAATACTCAATTCCAAGTGTATTTGTGAAGATGAAGGCTATAGTAAATATAAAGACACATATCACGGACATATAATAACAGGGAATACAAAGATAATTCCAAACCTATATATCAGAAATCTGTTAGACAAAGGATGCAAATATAGAATTCCCCGTCAGATGACAAAAAAAAGATAATATCATGGATAAATGAAACAACCAATAATTATATAAACATCATAAAAAATAAGTATAAACTTAGAAACAACATATTAACAGAAATACAAAATAGTATTAGAATAAATATATATAAAACATTAAAACCTAAACTATATTTAGATTGGCTAAATCACCATAACATAATAACAGAAGGATACTTGAGGAATAAGATTAAAAATCTACAAAAATCTTTCATTTTTTGTCCTTTGGATAAAGCCAGCAATAACTATGGAATAGTTTGCAAAAAACTATATATATACAATATACTACATGAAATGGGAATAAAACATGATAACATCCTTGGGTTAAACATAGAAAACACTAATAACACATACTCATACCTGTACACAAGAGATCAAGATAGCATAATTAATAAACATAAAACATTTAATGATAACAACAACATCAAGAATACAGTCAATATGAATATACCATTAATATATGCAATTCCAAAACTACACAAGTCTCCTATAAAATTTAGATACATCACAGGAGCCAAAACTAGTAGCCTAAAACCTCTATCTATGACACTTACAAAACTGTTAACATTCATAAGAAATCATTTCATGAACTACAATAATTGTATAAAAAGCAGAAACAACCAATTCATAGGCTATTGGGCAATCAACAACATAAACATAAGTCAACAACTACAAAATTTAAATTTGAAAAACATGAAACTTTTTTCAGCAGATTTTACTAATATGTTTACTAACCTTCCACATACACATATATTACACAACATTAAAGAAATACTCAAAATTTGTTACAAAAACAGCAATAAAAAATACATAGCTAGCAATGGATATAAAATCTTCTATACAAACAACACAACATTCAAGAACTACAATTACTACTCTATCATAGATATAATATTCTTACTACACTATTTACTGAAAAACAGTTATTGCAGGTTTTCAGAATACTTGTTTATACAGAAAACAGGAGTACCACAAGGAAGTAATGTTAGCCCATTGTTAGCAGACCTGACACTGTCCTACTTTGAACACATCTATTCCATTAATCATTACAACTCCAATGAACTAGAAATCAAACCATATAGATATATGGATGACATTCTAATAATACATAATGACAGTACAACAAATATTATAAACAAACTTGAAGAAATCTACCATGACATCCTCAAGCTTGAAGTCACGAATAGCAATGATTACAGTTGTAATTATCTAGACTTAGAAATAACTATTCATAATGACAAAATCAGTACAAAAATGTACAATAAAACAGACAGCTTCAACTTCTCATTAAAAAATTTCCAAACTACAATACAAATATTTCGTATCACATAAAATTTAATACTATATATGCAGAAATTCTAAGAACAACACGTACATGCACCAACAAAAAAGATTTTATAGATAGATTAGAATACACACTTAAAGCAACTCATTGAATCAGGATACAACACAAATATATTCATAAGTAGTCTTATGAAATGTCTAATCAAAAACCCTTCTATAACATACAAATTTAATTTACAAACTAAAAACATACACAGAGAATTTAGCTTCAATGAATAACAATGTACACGGGCAAATATAAAAAAAGTAAGAAGAAAGAGAAAGAGAATTAAACTCGAGAAAGAAGAAAAAAGATGCCCTAGCTAATTCTTTGAAACAGAAGTAATTTAAAAAATCATTTTCTTTACAAAAAGTTACTAAAATTCTATTTAAATAACGTAAAAAAGTTCAAATAATCTCAATAAAAATGTAAATAAACAAACCACAAAACTTTGTTATTATTAATTCTATATAATATAACTAGACAACCCACTCCTTCTAAGGCTCCTTATAGTATCTTATCAGCTGCTATCACTTCCTGCCACCTACCAATAGTGTTCACATCCTGCCCTCTATCTCACTTCTTGGATCCAACGTTCGGTCGTTGCTCTGGCAGGTGTTATGAATTAGGCAACCCACTCCTTCTAAGGCTCCTTATGGTATCTTATCAACTGTTATCACTTCCTGCCACCCACCAACAATGTTCCTGCCCGGTCTCCTACATCACTTATCAATTTGAACACACTATCGCCTATCGCTGTTATGAATTTCCGGTCAAACACACATACAAACAGACACACAAACATTCACACATACACAAACCTAACTAACAAACTTAGCGGATTATGTATATGTAT